AAGTGTGGCACCTTTCTGAAATATTTATTAAATGAGCAATTTTTTTATGTAATGTAATAATAATATATTTTAACTACATTGCATTTGAGTATGTAGAGGCAACTATCTGGAAGTATTTTACATAAAAAATTTACTAAGTATTGCCCGGTTTGTAGTTGCAGTTAAAGAAAACACATGAAAAGGCACGATTTTTTTTAAATTCGAAAAAATGTAAATATTTCAAAAACGGTGACACTTTTACCTGAAAATTTTTTGTTTATCAGTGAGCTCACCCCCCCACCTACCTTGCCCTAAAGTTTGGCACGTTACTTCTGGGACACCCTGTATGTGTATATGTGAGTTTTTTTTTATATATTGACATTTTATACTAAATTTCTATATTTTAGGATTGTGCCAAAACAGGATAAATTGTGCCAAAAGTGCCTCTGAGAATGAAAGTGCCAAAAATAGCACTATTTTGCCTACTTTTCCATAACTGCTGCATACATTTTCTGTATATTTGAAGCAACAATTAGACCGCTTTCAAACACGCCAAGTCTTGATCTCAAGTCTGCTCGTTCGTAGGCGAAGCAGGTGAGCCGAATGTACTCTTCTCACCTCCTTCGCCTACGAGCCGAGCAGACTTGAAAGCAAGACTTGACGTGTGTGAAAGGGGTCTTAACAGATTTGAGCTGCCGGTTCCCAATACTCTAATCGATCTAAATTATTCTATAAACTTTGAGTCTTCGTGCTGAATTTCTGAGTGCAAAGTCCATAACAATCATGCAAAACGAATTTAGGTATGTCTGCATTGGTTGAACGAAATACATGATCTTACATTCACATAAATATTAGGGCTGTTCATGATCTTGTGCATAGGCTCTTGCATTTGCATATTCGTTGCATTTGTAAATTCACAACAATAAAATACATTCGTTATTGTGAATTTTTATGATTGTTTCAAAATTACTAAGCTTCTAGTGAATAGGGTTTTTGCTATTTTTTTTTTTGGAAAAATGTCAATAGACGTTTTTTAAAAGTTTAAAACAAAAATGGAAGTACGAAAATCAAAACATGTTTGATGTAAAAAAGCCAAAAAGCAGTGTCACACGATTGGGCATGTGCCCGAAATTTGCTGCAAATGGTATCCCAATCGTGTGAAGGCACAAATATGTTTCTTTATCCCAATTACGAAAAACATTTTATTCAAATTTTTCCATACAAGTTTGCTGTATTGTACCAATCGTTCGACTAGAAAAAAAATTTTCGTCCCAAGATTTTTTTATTTTGTACTAATAGCCCAATATAAAAAATGTACAAATATGCCAATCGTGTGACACTGCCTTAAGAACTTAATTTTTTGAAAGAAAATATGCAAGGATTCTGTACCATTTCCACGAAAATTTGTTTTTTCCGCTTTGAGCGACCTCTAAATATTTTGGGATTTCGAAATAAAATAAAAAAGGTATACATTTTTCGATATATAACAATCCTCGATGTGTAAAGTCAGCAACGCTAGCGCCACTGAACTATGCACACCCGGTAAACTAGCATTGCTGACTTTGCATCGATCGATGATGTGGGTTCGATTCCTGCTTAAGTCTAAAAAAAGACGTCTGATGAGATGTGGTGATCTCCGAAATAGCAGCTATAACTTCTACCACTTGGGCTTTTTTTATTTTCACATTTTTCCTAAAAAACCAACTGTGGTATAAAGGTCTGATTATGCATACTTCGCATAACTTCGCACAACCATTTGTACCAGTGCAATAAAAATGTAACTTAAGAAAATGTGAAGCAAAATCTAAACTCAACAGATCGCTAAGTTCTTAATAGCTGAAATACAATGCCGGCCAACGGCGAACTCACCACAGCGAAATTCGCGCTGTCAAAATTAGAACACCCGCACGCATATGAAATTGAACACAGCCAAAGCGAAATGCGAAGTTCGCTTGGCGGCGTTTCATGGCGATAGATTTATTTCTATCGCCCTGCTGGGCGATGACAGCTGTGCGTGCCAAAGGTGACCGTATTTGTTTTTTGCTTTCAAAGTTTTAAAAGAAAACAGCCTAAACACGATTTTTTTTGTTGTTTGAAAAATATAGTTGTGGATTCGTTACATCTGGCTTGAAACAAATTATTTATAATAATCTTTCTTTGTTTTACATTTATATTTGTTATCATTTCCTCATTTCTAAATATGGTTTAGTTTTTTCTAAATATGGTCACCCAAATTATAAAGGCGACCAAATGGGATCAGCTGTTTTCGCTACCGCTCTGATTCTGTTTAAGTAGGCGAAATAGCTGGGCGAACGGTGAACGACAGCATCGCCCAATTCGGCGAAGTTTGCCGTTCGCCGGTATTGTATTTCAAGCATAAAAGTTCTGCTAATTTCTGGGTAATGGAATACATACAAATTAGATACAAAGTACATACGAAATTGCAGTTTGAAGTTTATGCGAAGTTGTGCGAAGTTATGCGAAGTACGCATAATCAGACCATAAAGCTGAATGTCTTTTTTTTGCAAACAATTTTCTCATTCATTCCAATTTCATATTGGGATTGATCAATAGTATAGTATGATGAGTTTTTTTTTCACAACATTTCATAATAAAATATATAATAGGGCAAATCATCTAAACGCGTAAGTGGCTCGTAACCACATCAACCTCGAAAACCTATTTAATTTTGTATGGAAAACCGGTTTATTTACATACGAGGTTTACACGACTACGAGGCATTAACGCGTTTAGATGAATATCCCTAATATTTTCTTTTCTAAAAGTTGTTTAATTGGGTTTTAAAAGTAAATAAAAATATGAATTTTAGAGAAAATATAGTTTTTGGCTCTAAATACATGCGAGTTATTTTTTTTTTTTAATTTGATGAAAGGTAGAGAACTTAATTCACTACATACAAAACTACACCCGATTTTCTTTTTTATTTGTCATATTTAATCGTTTATAAAAACAAAATTGGCGAAAAAAATAATTTCATTGAAAATTATAATTTTTGCGTGCGCTAACTCAAAAATTAAGATAGAGGGCTGAAATTTTGTCATAATTATACATACATATGTACATACATACATAGGACGACTCAGACATGATTATTAGTTCATGGAAAATTTTATACGATCAGTTGAGTATTGATGACAGTTCCGTCTTTAAGCCACAATCAGCATATCATAATTTATTCCTAAACTTGTAACACTCTTTGATTATCAAAAATTTTCTTAATGTGTTTGACCTACAACTACGACGAGTTTAGTTATTCTCTGATAAGAATAAAAAATTTAAAAAAGTGATAATTTAATTTTTTGTATTTCATAACAACTCTTTAATCTTGGGAAATCAAATTTGTAATAAACTTTTAAATTTTACTATAGTAATTATAGCTGGTAAAGATTAGTATAGACTCTTTTTATTTCCTACTCGCAAATACATATGTATATCGCTTGTTAACAATACTCGCCAAATTTTCAGCCAGACTAAGGTAATTAAATTAATTGAGGGATTCACAACGGTATCGTAAGTGTCGTATTGTTGTATGTCGTAAAATTTAAAAGCTTAAATAAATGTTTAGAGAACTTGAGACCACAACCAACTATTTTTTAACACTGCGAAAATGCATAATATGACTTTGGTGGTACTTTGCGAACCCAGTTAATACATTTTTAGGCGTTTAAAGTTTCCGACATTCAACAATACGACACTTACGACACCGTTGTGAATACCACAAATGTTCTAAAATACACACATTCACACATATCAGCAAATGAAGCGCTCGAATTTATAACAACTGCACTTCGTTTAAAACAGTTAAATTAAATTGGATGCGCCAGCTAAAATCTTTTAAATAACCAGTATGTACTTTGAGCGGCTCGAGTGCAAGCTTATTAGCAGAAGAAATGTGTAGATACCCGTTTTAATGACGGGAAAATATTGTGGGTTGCCAAACCTTCGAAAATAATACATACATATGAGTGTACGTTAAGGTGGTCGAAAAACAGTGAAGTCGGAATTGTAATGCTCTCACCACCTAGCATTGTACTATATATTGAATGAAGTACACCCCTATTTTATTTTTTTTAATCAAAAAATATTTACAGGTCGCTCAAAGCGCTCAAAGTTTTCCACGTATTTTTATATGGGAAAAATAAAATTTTTCGTAGAAATGGTATAGGATTCTTGAAAATCAATATTGTTCTATCGGAAAACTCTGGTGCTCTCCAGCATACTTTAAATAATAATACTCAATTGTTTATTTAACCATTTTTTAATACTAACGATTTTTTATTGGCCGCCGCATTCTTTATGGTAAAAAAATTTTGATTTTTAACTATTCTATACCATTTCTACGAAAAGTTGTTTTTCCCCATATAAAATACATGGAAAACTTTGGGCGCTTTGAGCGACCTCTACATATTTTTTGATTTCTAAATAAAAAATAGGAGTATACTTTTTTTCGGTATAGAAAAATCCTAGGGCTGAGAGCATAAATATTCCGATTTCACTTTTTCACATGCATTTTTGGACCACCCTTGTGTACGTACACTTAAATATAAAATTGATAAGCAAATTGTTTGCTCAGGCAGCTGTTAACACAAAACGGAGTGCAACAACAGAATTGATACGTCTACACGTGTACATATGTACATATGTGTTCATACAAGTTGTAAAAATATTTTGAATAAAATCCATGTACATACATATGTACATATGTATAACTGAAAAGACTGGGCCAAAAGAAAATAAATAATACAAAGCGATCACCTCACCGAACAGGTTAATTTCATATTCAAATCAAAGCCAAGTGGTCGTTGGAATTTCACCAGCGTTTTTAAAATAAACAATAAATATGTGTTAGGTATGTATGTATATATGTACTATGTGCATATATTTGAGCATATGTCACATAGAATCATATATACATACATACGTATCTGTCCAGAAATTCGCAAATATTTATTTTGGTTTTTTAAATATAAAATTAAAAATAACTTTAGAATGCGACTTACTTTTTCTTCTCCGGACTATTTAGATCAGATGATCTGCGACCGCTCTCCTTGATTTCAAACAGCTTCTCATAATTTTGCGGTACACCTGCACGAAGAAATTAGAATAAGTCATAACAATTTAGAAATCGCCATACAAATAACTAAATAAACAACGTTAGCCTAAACTAGTTACGAACAGAGGGTGATCCAAAAATGCATGTGGAAAGAAATAAAGTGCGAATTTTAATGCTCTCACCCCCTAGGATTGTTCTATATCGAAAAAAATATNCCGAACTTTAATGCTCTCACCCCCTAGGATTGTTCTATATCGAAAAAAATATACCGCTGTTTTTTTCCAAAGAAAGGTCGCTCAAAGCGCTCAAAATTGTTCATGTATTTTATCTGGGAAAAAAAGTTTTCCTTGCAATGGTATAGAATTCTTGAAAATCAATATTTTCCGATCGGAAAACTCTGGTTCTCTTCAGAACACTTCCAATAATAATACCCAATTATTCATTTTACCATTTTTAATACTAATAATTTTTGATGGGTCCCCCAACTGAATTTTTTCAGGACATATGTATAAAAAATAGTTATTATATTATTATTGGAAGTCTCCTGAAAGAAACAGATCGAAAAATATTGATTTTCAAGAATTCTATACGATTTCAACGAAAAATTGATTTTTACCATATAAAATACAGGAAAACCTTCGTTTTGAGCGATCTTTAAGTGTGAACCCACACCGAAAACGCAAAAAAAATGTTTTTTCGTGTCAAATAGAGCGTTATAAAACGTTTTATCAACTTCGGTGGGGGGCACACTAAATATTTTTTGGTTTCAAAATGAATAAAAAGATGGTGGTATATTTTTTCGGTATCTAGGGGGTGAGAGCATTAAAATTCTTTAACTTTACTTTTTTTTTGGCTCACCCTAATGTATATGCATAATTGACTGATCGACTATTTTATGAGCGATATTGCATCCCTAGTAGCAACTCGTTTTCTTAGCGCCAGTTTTTATGTGGAATGAACAAATATTCAAA